ATTGGTCCAGAGACTGGAGCGCACTCTGAGAACACTTGATTTGTACCTCTCCTCCATCTGCCTAAACAAGCCTCATTCATCCTTCAAGCTAGGGGGTCCTAGCTTAGGATCCCCTTTTCTAAGAAGCAACTGCTGAATGGATCTCTCTCCCCCTTCCTCCACTCCGACCCGGAAGGGTGTGCTGGTGGAGGGAGAGCACCTCAGTGGCGTTGATCATCTGCTACCTTATGGGATTGGGTCCCCTCCATCCTATCAGCCCTTAAGTGCAGAGATTGGGACAGACACGTCTTTAGTGACTCCACATTATCCAGAAGGCATTCCTCATCTCCGGGCTGAGGTGAGTCTATCTAGACCACAAGCTCCCCAGCGATACATGCAGGCTTCTAACTATTACACTCACTGGGCCCCTACTATGTAAAAGGACGCACAGGATAACAACCTCTTTGCAGGCTGGGGAAATAGCTCAGTGGTGGAACACTTCCCTAGCAAGTGCAAGACCCTGAGTTCAATCTCCAGCACCACACAAAAAATTAACTAATTAAAAAGGCATTTGAGGGCCAGGGATTTAGCTCAGTGGTTCCACCACCTCCTGTGCAATCGCAAGGACCCAAGTTCAATGCCTGGTATCAAAAAAAATAAAAATTAAAATGCATTTGAAAAAATATCCTTTTTCTTCACAGACACCAAGAATTACAGAGCACGAGTCATAGCAGAAGCCTATAAAAATGCTCCATGAGGCATCCTCTCAACTGCAGCCAGACAGTCCCCACCCTCAGCCTAGCCTGCAACGCACACACAACCGTGGCCCCAGATGCAGGTGTCGGGGCCCACCAACACCCCACACACACACACACACAGAGTTGCGGTCACACCCTCATGTAACCATGGCGAGGGTTTGGCCACCTGCTGTAGGCTCCATTGTTCCCCAGCTCGCACCATGGATGGCGCAGACATTGTTAAGAGAACAGATGTCCAGGCAAGCGGGGACAGCAACTGGGAACAATGGCTGTGGTTATGCAGAGCTGGACTCCACCAGAGTGGGGCAAGGAGACACTGCCTCCCTGTTCCCTGTCTAGGAACAGACTGCCCATTTCTGCCTATAGCTGGGGGTCTCAGGAAGATATTGTGAGCAGGCCAAAGAGACCCCAGGTTCTGGAAGGTAGATGTTGGTTTCACCTTGACCATGGACAACTTTCATTTGTATACTTCAGTTTCACTATCTACCAATATGTACTACTCAAAGAAAGGCATGGTGACACACACCTGTAGTCCCAGCATTCTGAGAAGCTGAGGTGGGAGGATTACAAGTTCAAACTGAGCCTGGGCAACTTAGAGAGACCCCATCTCAGAATAAAAAAAAAAAAAATAACCAAACAAGGGCTGGGGATGAAGCTCAGTGCAAAGGCCTTGGGTTTAATCCCCAGTACTCCTGCCCCCCCCCACAATGAAAGTAAAGTCAAAAACAGAGATGGCAAAGATTCCCTTTGGAGGAATGAAAGGAGAGATTAAAAAGAAAATAACAGCCAGGCATTGTGGTGTAGGCTTATAATCCATCACTTGGGAGGCTGAAGCAGGAGGGTCACAATTTCAGGGTCCAGCCAGGCTATATAGCAAGTTCAGTGCCAGCCTGGAATAGCAAGACTCCATGTCAAATACACACACACACATACACACACACACACACACACACACACACACACACTGCCACTGTGTAAAAGAAAGTAACTACAAAGAGACTGGGCAGAGAGGCAGCATCCGCTCCTGCAAGGGGCAACCTGCAGGCCAGCTGAGAGGAAGCAGTGTCAAGACTGAAGCTCACCTTGTTTCCTCCCCATCCCCAGAGGTGTTTCCAGACAGGAAACGGCATCTTCCACATGCCAGTTAAGTCCTCTAGGAACCTGTCACTTTCTTCCAATCCCGCTACTCCTCCTTCTGACCACCACCTGCCCCGACATGGCCCTAAGTCCTCACCCCAGGAGCCTCACCCCAAGCAGCTGTGACTATTTCAGGACCAGGATTGCAGCTCTCCTCCTCCAGGCAGTCTTCCCACATGCACTGCTTGGCTCACTCCCTTGGCCTTGCCAATTAGACCCTCTCTCTCCTTGCACTGTCCACGTGGCAGCACGTGGCAGTCACTGACACCACAATTGTCATTACTGGTGGCCCTAAAAGGCAATGCCCACCTGGAAGGAGGGAAGTTTTTGGTTTCATTCAGTTCCTTGTCCCCAGCACCTAGCTTAACGCCTCCTACAGAGCAGGCAAGCAAGTATTTACGTTGATCCAAGGAAAGGATGGGGAGGAAATTTAAAATCAGGCAGATCCACCCTAGGCACACGTTTCAAAGCTCTGCAGAATTTCTAACAGAGATTTTTATTAGCGCATCTTGCCTGCCACTGGGAAGGCTAAGTCACAGTGGGTAAACATGCCACAGGTAACTGTGGCTCAAAGGGAGAAAGAAGAAAACTTAGAAGTTGCTGTCTCAAAAGTCCTTCTTTCCCCGGGACTTTGCGATCACAGTGGCCTCACAACTTCACCCTTTGGATGGAGAACAGATCCAAGTTGCTGTCCACAGGGGCAGGAGCAATATGTCTCCACTGAAGTCCACTCTCGATAATGTCACGGGGATAACTGTTGTATGTGGGGGGAACCTGGGAATCAGCATTCCTGACTGGGAGCCCCAGGAAGGTCAACTCAGAAACAGGGACAGGGGTGATGTCACACTGGGCCTTGGGAGAGAGGGCTTTTCTCTCCCACGCCTGAGGCTCCCAAGGGAGGGAGAAGGGCTCCAAGTGTCTTACCCTACAGGCTCAGGCTCCCCGGGCTGGTGCAGACCACCCCTCTTGGCCTCTCCAGCCCCAGGCACAGACCAGTGAGGACGACAGCCCTCAGAAGAGGCTGGAATGCAAAGCAGGTGCCCTGAGTAGCATAAAAGTAGGCAGGAAAGAAAATGTATTCAGCCTCAACCAGAGTAATTTAAAAATGTACCATATGCCAAACCCTTGGCAAGGTGCGGCCCCAGTCTTTATTTGATCTTCACACCAACCCAATGAGGCAGCTCCTATATTCCTTGTTGTACGAACAGGAAAGTCAGGCATTGTTCTGCTGGAGGGAGAGAAGCCCAGGAGGCAATCCTCAAACACTGGGTGTGTTTGGCCAAGGCTGGGGCAAGATTTAAGTATCTTCGAGTAAACTATTAAAGATGCTTGCTCTTTATTGGGTTTCTTTCTTAAAGACAGAACACAATAAAATGGGATTAGGCAGGAAAAACCTCTTGCTACAGGTAGGGGTGTTAGAGGCACATGGTACCCCTGTGTCTTCCCAGGATAGAGCCGTGAAAGGTGCAGCTGGACCAAGTGCCATGCTGCAGGCAGGAGACTGGACAACTTGACCTTTCCTGCCATGTAAGCAATGCCTCCCACGCTCACAGGTTCTTCAGGCTCCACCTGCAGTCACATGAGGGGCTTTTGGACAATGCAAAAATCAGAGGTCACACATACACCCTTTGCTCAATTTAACAAGCAGTTGGGCTGAGAGTTCAGATATTAAAAGTGAAATATTTTTTTAAATGAATGTAAGGTTTGGAGTTTGACAATTTCATCAATGAGGGTCATGTGATGGCATTAAAGTTAGCACAGTTAAGTTAGCGTCCCTGCTAAAAGCCACCTGCCTCGCCTGCTGGATAATGTAGTTTACCAAACCAGCAGTGCCAGAGATGAGTAGGCAGGCAAACAGCTCAGGCAGAAGACAGTGCCTATCTTGGGAAGCCCCTTCCTGTCCGCTCTCCTCTCCCTCCTGAAACTCGCAAGGACCTCAAGGACACAAAGCAGATCTGCGGCTGCCCCCAGCAGCTCAGGCCAACACTTGTGCTTTGGTCTGGAACAGAAGGTTCCCTAATAGGTTGTCATTAGCCTGGGAAGGCAGAATGCCCTGGGCCTCCGGGCAGGAGGAGGAGGCCGGTTTATATGAAAGATGTGAAGTCTATACAGAGGCATTCATTCTGCATGTTTCATTCCAACCAGCAACTCACTAGTCTGAATCCAACACAGAATTTCCTATTGATCCTAGGACAATCATACGACAAAAAGCAGCATTTCTCCAGATAGGATTTTTCTTAAGGTAAAGGGAATCTCATCACGAAAGCCCTGTCTTCTCTAGAGTTCTAAACCTCTCTAAACTCTCAGAAGAAGCCTGGAGAGGGCAAAGGCTTCACCCTCAGGGTTGCACCAAAGAAGCAGAGCTGGTGCTAGCTCGCTGACCCCTACCCAGCAACCCAGCCCAGATGGCCGGCAGCTGCCTCTGAGAAGGTAGTGGGCAAAGGGGCTGAGAGCGTTTATAAATTACTGCACACCCCACTCTGTCCTGATGGCCCCAGGCCACAGGGGGAAGACCACGCAGGGCAGGCCAGGTCAGGAGCCACGCTGTGGAGTCCTCGCTGGAAGACTGACCCCTGCCTCCCAGGCTGCCACAAGACCTCCGGTCATCCCTGCCTGTAATGCCCTCACCTCCCTCTTTGATCCCAAAGAGGGGAGGAGGTGGGGAGCAAAAAAGAAATTTCCACTCAGCATCCATCTGCCCAAAGCAAAGGCAACACAAAGGCCACACCTGTTTCCATGGAGATGCAATTGGCCAAGCAAAAGAACAAAACAGTGAGAAACACAAGCCTGTCACCACCTTCCGGGCCAGTGTGATCGATGTTGGCGGCCAGAGGCCCCGACAGGAAGACAGCGGAAGGATGAAAGGTAATCAGCAGATCTAGAAGCCTAACGGGAGTCCTTTCAGTGGGCAGAGAGGGAGTCGGTGACCTACCGCCCCCCCGCAAGGCCTACACACTCACCCTCGGGGGCCCAATCTTCAGAAAGATCCTGAACAAAAAAATCCTGAACTGAAATCCAAAGTGAGCGATTATTCATTTCACAAAAGGATTCTTTACTTGACAAAGGAATTCCAGGAGACAACATCCCAGGGTGGGTTGGAGAGGTAAGCCTGGTCTCCTTACTTACTTTTCTGAGGCAGTGGAGGAGGAGGAGGGACCCTGGGGATAACTGCCAGGCAGAAGACAGCTGTGTGGGGACAGGACCAGCTTCTAAGACATCCACTGAGAGCGCCACAAGGCAGTTTTGAAACAGGTGAACTGGGTGCCGGGAGGCCATTCAACAGCAAGGACACCGGGCCGGTAGAGCGGAGGAGGCTGGGCAGCAGGTGTGCAGTGAGGTGCCTCAGGTGGTGGGGGTCCCGGCAGGTGCAGGGAACCGAGAGGGAATGTGTGGGAACCAGTCCTCACCACCCCAGGGCCGCAAGAGGAGGGGCTTGGAATGTCAGAAGCTGTCCACAGTCTGTTCAGCAGATGGCTGGGGCTCAAGGGCAGTCACAAGAGAGCCCTTGGCTTGCTCTCGCCATTCATCAGGTGACATTACTAAGCGCCTCTGTGCACATGTTGTCATCCTGGGACAGGAACAAGGCCACACACCCACACACCCTGCCTTTGGAGAACACCACTCCACTGGGTCCTTCCTGGCTCTAATCCCCACAGGGAACAAAAACCAAGGGTAGCAGCGATCATACTTACTGAGCGTGATGCGGGGCCAGACAAGCACCCCAGGAAGGAGATCCTGTTCCTGTTCCTTCCTCATTAAGTGACGGAAAAACAGGCACCAAGAGGTAGGTAATATGTCCAAGTGGAGAACGAACTCAAGACCAGCTCTCTAACCCAGCCAAGGTGGTTTTTGCCTTGTGATGCCTCCTCCAGGAAGGCCAGCTGGCTTTCTTGCCAGGTATAAGAATTGCTCTGTGGCCTTGAAGTCATTCTGTCTTGGGCCTTAGTCTGCCTCTCTGCAACCAAGAGGCATCATTCTAGGCTGAGCCCCCAGACAGGACAGCTCCCGGGGAGTGACTGCCATCTACTCCTCCCTAAGACCGATCTTGGGGACCATCTGGATTCCTTGGTTTTCTCTTCCCAGCGGCCCTCATAATGGCTTCCCGAAGACAGCCCCACCGGGTCACCCCAATTAGTTGGCTCCCTGCCCAACTGGAGAATATCCCTGCTGGGATGACCCAGGAGGACTGAGAGAGCTTCCCTGAGACTCTGAGGAGGGGGCTGGCTTTATCTCACCTCTATCCTCTCCAGCCTCCTGCTTGTTTTAGAATTAAAATTAGGAAGCAAAGAAGCGGACACAAGGACACGTGTTCAACACAATTCACCAAATGAAAAATAGAGTCAGGCTGTTTCCAACTCAAAGTGTGACAAGGTGACTGGTCTTGCAAGGAGATCCAGTTTACCAATTAGGATATATGGCAGACATTTTCCTTCCCTGCCTGAGCTGAGCGTGCAGCTCTAAGGCTCTGACAAAAACATATGCAAAGCATACATAAGCATACAAAATCAAGTAGATGCCATGTAAGGCAAATGTCGATTTAAAAATGTGAGCCAAGCCAGATGCGGTAAAGCATGCCTGCAATTCCAGCACTCAGGAGCCTGAGGCTGGAGGATCTCAAATTCAAGGTCAGCCTGAGCTATACAGTGAGCCTCTGGCTCAAAAAACCAAAACCAAAACCAGAAAACACAAACAAAAACAAAAATGGTGAGTCAAGAGTGGTGGCACACATCTGTTCTCTCTCAGCTATTAAGGAGGCCAAGGCAGGAATATTGCGAGTTCAAATCCAGCCAGGGTCACTTAGCAGGACCCTCTCTCAGTGGTAGATTGGCCCTGGGTTCAATCCCCTGTACTGAAAAAAAAAGTGTGAAGGGACCCACAGGTTTTTCAAAATTCTTTCAACAAGTGTGGGTGTGAAAAAAGTTTGAAACCTGTTGCTTTATTTCCCTGGAAGGAACCCTCACTCCCTCTGTGGAAAACCCAGCAGGCCTCGGAGTAGTAAGTTCCGGGTGGAAGGCAGCTGCAGGTACAAAGCAAGCATGGACCTGGATCTCGGTACCAGTTTGCTTGTGCTGCTTCTTAGCTGTGTGTATCTGGCTAAGTCCCCCAAACTCCCTGAGCCTCAGTTTCCCCATAAGTATCTGGGTATATATACCATGCCAGGCATATTGAAAACCCTGATGAGGAGAATGAGGATGACATTAATGAATAATGGGAAGTGCAACAGCACAAACAGCCCCAAATAGCAGTCAATCAGCAAGCATTTTGTGTTTGGCTTGGACCATTATATGCTATTTGCCTCAGCATGATATTAGTAACTACTATTTTTAAATAGCTAATACTCATTGACAGCTCACTACATGCCAGGCACTGGACCAAGTGCCTCCTAGGCCCCAGCTCATTTTGTTTTCACAGTAACCCCACAAGTCAGGGGTTTCATTCTTATTCCTGATTCACAGGTACCAGCAGGTTAGGTAGGTACTTGCTTAGCTCATTTGGCTAGCAAGTAAGGGCCCAGTAAGTCTGGGTGTTTTGTTGGTGGCACTGGGAATTGAACCCAAGGGTGTTCTACTACTGAGCTACATCTCCAGCCCTTTTTTTTTTTTAATTTTGAGACAGGATCTCTCACTACGATGCCCAGGCTAACCTCTAACTTACAATCCTCCTGCCTTAGCCTTCCAAGTAGTTGGGATTACAGGTGTCCACCACTATGCCTGGCTTGGGTCTGTTTGATTCCACAGTTCAAGCTCTAAAAATCCTTCCTGCTCACAGTACAGCCTTCAACCAGCAGCAGCCTCTACATCAACTCATTTGCAGAGCAGGAACCCAGGACCTAGTCCAAACCTACACTGTCAGAATCTGCATTTTAGCAAAATCTATGAGGGATTCATATGCACGTCCAGATTTGAGAATTAGTGCCCTAAAGCATCAGTCTGACTGGGTTACCGTCCCGGTTTGCCTCGCTGAAGGTAACAGAATATTTGCATACATACACAGCTGGCAATTAAAGCAAGTGAGGTGGTTAGGGATTATAATAATCCAACAGTAACACATGCAAAATGCCTTTTTGGAAAAGGGCTAAGAGAACGTGCACCAAGCTGTCCTCAATGGTTTCCTCTGTGGGGGTATGGGATGAAGGGCGAGGAATCAAAGAGGGCTTTATACTATTTGACAGTTTTAATAAAAAGGAGCTAGCTCTGTATTGGTTATATAATTAAAAAGAAAAGCAGGGCCAGAGATTTAGCTCAGTGGTTTCTCTGCCTGCTGTGCAAGCGCAAGGACCCGAGCTCAATCCCCGGTACCAAAAAAAAAAGAAAAAGAAAAGCAGGTTTTTTGGTACCAGGGATCGAACTCGGGACCTTTCACTTGCGAGCCAGGTGGCGGCACCACTGAGCTAAATGCCCGCCCAAGAAAAGCAAGTTTTAAAAGACAAATACAAGCCAGGTGTGGTGGCTCATGCCTGCAGTCCCAGCACTCGGCAAGGCTGAGGCAAGAGGATCACAAGTTCAAACCCAACCTAGGCAATTTGGAGATTTGGTCAGACCCTGTCTCAAAATAAAAAATGTGGGCCGGGGATTTACCTCAGTGGTTTCACTGCCTGCTGTGTGAGCACAAGGACCTGAATTCGATCCCCGATACCAAAAAAATAAAAAAATAAAAAATAAAAAATAAAAGATAAGGAGGGGCTGGGATGTAACTCAGTGTGAAGGTCCTGGGTTCAACCCCCCAGTACTGCAAAATAATAATAATAATAATAATAATAATAATAATAACGCAAAATAAATAAAGCCACAAGTACAGGATTGGAGTGTTGCTCAGCAGTAGAGTGCTTGCCGAGCACGTGTGAGGCCCTGGGTTCTATCCCTAGCAACACACACAAGAACAGAGCACTGAAAACTGATTGTATCTTATAAGCTCCATCTGTCCCAGGCTGTTGACAGCTTCTTGCCTCGACCCCTAGAAAGCCAAGGTGGTCAGTGGGAAGTGTGACAAAAGAAGCACCATGCTCACAGCTGGAAGATCCAGATTTAAGTCCTGGCTGTGCCCCTAATTTGCTGTGGGACCTGTGTTTCCTCTGTTACTGGACAGGGGTAAGCCCTGGACCTTTCCAGCCCCTAAGGCAGGTGTGGGATCTTCCATGTAGTGAGATGCATAAATGGTCTTGAGAACTGCAAGTTGCTGTACAATCCAAGGGCCAACTGTTTCCTTGAAAAGAAGAGAGGGAAGAAAAGCAACGAGGCGTTTATCCATACTCATTCCATTCCCTAAACACAGATATTCCATGACTTTATAAGGAAGATATACAGAGTAACCTGGATTTAGAATCATGGGAGCCCTGGGCTGATTTTCAAATCCTTATTCGAACTTACAAGTTAGGTTTGGCTATGGTTCAAACCATGAAAAGAAAGGGCTATTTCTCAATGCCTGGCCCATTTTCTTTGCCTTCTCTCCTGGTCTCTCTGCAGACTGGAAGATCCTCAGGAGGTTTTATTTCTGGGCCTCTCCTGTTTGGGGACAGCTCTGTACTCTGTATGGCCTTCTGTGACTCCCGTCTGTGACCCCAGCGCTACCACCCAGCTGCCCTTAGAGCAAGGGACTGGGAGTCTACAGTTCAGCTAGTTTCTGGCCAATGGCTCGTTTCTCACCTTTTTATCTTAGAACTCAGATTTGCAGAACTGCAAAGAATAGTTACCTGTAGTTTGCCTGGTGGGGAGTGGAGTTTGGGTGCAGAGGGATAAAGAAATTTGCTCAAACCCATACAATTATCTTAAAATAAAGAGCTGAGTAGAGTTGTCTGTCCTCAAATTCCACACTTTCTGTATGGCTTTGGGAAATGGCTCCTTTCCTTAAAATTTCTCTGTCACTTGTTTATAACTTGCCTGTCACTGATCTCACCCCAAGAGATATAAATCTGAGGACTGAAAGCCACTGTATTTATCTTCAAACTGAACAATCTTCAAGCAGCATGGTCTGAAAATATCATTGCAACTGAGGAAAAAAATAATCTCTAGGCAGATTTTCTGCCGAGAATCAGACGTGTTTAAACGCTATTGAGCATCAGTTACAGTACTCACAGGAAAAGAAGCCCGGTGAAGCCAGACAAGGTAGTGCAGGCCCCGTAACCCCAGCACTCTGGGATGGCAAATTCAAGCCCAACCCGGGCAACTTGGCAATTTAGCCAGACCCTGTCACAAAATAAGAAATAAAAGAAGGGTTGAAGATGTAGCTCAATGCAAAGGCCCTGGGTTCAAGCTACAGCACAGTAAGTAAACAAACAGGAAGCTTAGAGGCCCACAGTTCCAGCCACTTCCCACAGGGCCTGAGAGGACTCAGTTCACCTCCCTGAGCTGCAGTTCTCTCCTAGGAAGACAGGGAGCATAACAGCAGCTGTCAGGTTTGGAATGCAGATGACAGACTGGATAAAGCTCTCCTTGAATAATTGGAGCTCAACAAATAGCAATTACTACTGTCAAGATCACCCTCATTT